CCAGTATTATAGCCCTTTCCAGAGAGCTGGGTCTTCGCATCATGTGTCCGAAGTAGAATAATTTGAGCCTGGTCATTTGGGCCTTGAGTGAGAACTCTGGGTTGATTTGTTTGATGATCCATCAGTTTGTTTTCTTGGCTGTCCACAATATTCTCAGGAATCTTCTCCGACACCAAAGTTCAGAAGCATCAATACTTTTCCTATCCTGCTTCTTCAAGGTCCAACTTTCACTTCCATAGCACGTCACAGGGAATACCATGGCTTGCACAATTTTGATCTTTGTAAGTATAGACACATCACGGCATTTGAATATCTTTTCCAAGGCCTTCATGGCTCCTCTACTGAGTGGCATAGATCTTGACTGCTTGTTCCTTTACTTACTGCTTGTTCCTTAGTTATCATCACTAATGAAGATAACTTTGATATCTTCATTATCAGTTTTGAGGCTGGTTGTTATACCTTTGTACAAGTTGTTATTACACATAGTCCTTGCTTAACAGCTGCCCTTTTAGCAACCGTTTGAAGTTATGCCAGTGCTGAAAAAGTAATTTTATGACTGGTCTTTGCACTTACAACCATTGCAGCACCTGCACGGTCATGTGATCAAGATTTGGGCACTTCACAACTGGTGAGTGTTTATTACTGTCACAGCATCCTGTGGTCACACAATTGCCATTTGTGACCTTCACAGCCAGCTTCTGACAAGCAGAGTCAATGGAGAAGCCTGGAGTAAAATTGTAAGTTGCGGACATGTGATGTCTCGCTTAACTGCAGCAGAAGTGAGGTCATAAGTCTGTTGCAGTCACATGATATCTCGTTTAATGACCGTGTTGCTTGGCAACAGAGCTGTGGGTCCCAGTTGTGGTTGCTAAGCAAGGACTATCTGTAGTTTGGTTATATTAAAATCATATTGAATTTTATTTCTGTCTTCTAGAAATAAAACTGCATGATCTCAGGGAAAGAAATATTTGATATAAGGAGATGCCAGTGGGAACAAGATGAATGCCCGTGCCTGCTCTAAATCACCTTTTCCCCTTCAAATCTGGATCAATATGCAGCGCTATTAGTTACCCCACTCAATTTTGTGTCATCTGCAAGTTGGATAAACATTCTCTCTACCTATTCATCTAAATCATTAATAAAAATACTGAAGAATAGAGGACCCAAGACTGATTGTTGCAGCATCCCATTTGATATCAGACTCCAATATGATGAGAAACCATTGATGAATATTATTTGATTTTCAAGCCAGCTACATATCCAGTTAATTATCATGTAATCTAGCCTATACTTAACTACTTTGCTCATCACCATGTCATATGCTGCTGAAATCAAGATACATTACTGTATGTCTTTAGCTTTCCCACAGAGAAGCTACCTGATCAAAACATAAAACAAGGATAAATTTGCAGGATTTGTTCTTGATAAATCCATGCTGATTTCAAGTACCTACTGCATTGTTTTCAAGGTGCTTACGGATTGATTTCCTTATGATTTGTTCTATAATCTTCTCAGATGTTGATGTAATATTACTGCTCTGTTGTTTGCTGGATTTTCCTTTTCTCTTTTATGAAGGTAGAGATAACATCTCTTCTCCTCCAGACACTTCACCCATTCTCCAGGATTTCTGAAAGATAAAGGTTTGACTTTCAGCTAGTTTCTTGAGTATCCTCGAATGCAATTTATCTGGCCCTGGAAATTTAAACTCATTCAAGGTTAAAAGGTATCCCCAACCACATTTCTAACAGTCTCAGCCTTCAATCCTGCCCTTTCATCCTGATTCTCACAATTTCTCACTGATTCTCGCTGGTGGAAGACCTATTAAACTAACAATCAAATTATTGGCCTTTTTTGATAACTATTAACATTTTCCTGCCTTTACTGACCACTTGTAAAGGCAGGAACATGTTCTCTTTTAAAAAAAAAAAAAATCTGAAGAAGCTCTTCTTGTTACTTTTAGCATCCTTTGTTAATCTCAGCTCATTTTGTGATACTAATTTTACAGTTCAGGCTATTTGTCTCAGCTTTTGTGACCCAGCCTTCTTTCCATATATATGTGCCCTTTTTTGTCTTCAGTTCTTCACTAAGCTTTATGTATAGCTACATTAATTATTTCTGGTTACAGAATACATTTCTGTACATTTATTCCTTTACTGGAAATCTGGATAATAGATTTCAAAGAGACAATCAAAGTCCAGAAAAATAAAATTCTGGGCAACCATTTATTAGTGGGAATAATTGGGAAGGGTTCCTTTTCTTAGGTGAACTTTCAACAAGAGGAAGAGCAGCTCCATTTGGCTTAACCTTGGTGTACATAATAAAGATGTACATTCTTATTAAATAAGCCCACTCATCCTTAAAGGATTTTAAATTTAGCATGCATCTCCCTGCCTGACTAAGCTACAGAAAATGAAAGGAAGCAAAGGCACGAGGTTTGCTACTTTCCTCCTCCCAAGTAAATCTGTACAACAAGAGACCTCTGGAAGAAAGTGAATGGGGGCAGCATTTACTTTAGGGAGTGTTACATCCTCTATCAGTTTTTGTTTTGGGGCCTTCTTTCTTTGAAGTGATAAATCCCTGTCTTTTTTTATCACTGAAATGTGGTGATTTGCTGTTCCAATCCTTTGAAGTTTTCTTCAAGGACTGCCATGAACTTGTGTTTACTGCGAATATAAGTCATGTTTTGGGCAAGGAAAACAAACATGCCACAAGCTTGCAGACTCCTATATTTTCATCTTCACCTTTCTCTTCTTAGGGCACTACCAGTAGAAAGGTCTTTATCTCTTCCCAGGCTTTCTCTTGACTTACAGGGAATTTGTTAGGGATTCCCACTTAAATTCTTCCATCAGACTTCCCGGGCCACTCAGCGAAGTTACTTCAGATGTGAGAGCCTTTTATTCTTCTTACACTCTCTGCTTCCTCAGTAGGAAGCAGAGAGTCAGTCATCAGGGCAATCAGCTCTCCACAGTTCTCATCATTAGCTCTTGTTCAATTTGTCTGTTCCCCCTTTAAAAAGATCTAATTTAATGATCTGTCAGCAGCAAATTTCATAGTTTAACTACCCTTGACAAGGATGTTACGCTTTAAGGTTCTTACTGATAGTAAAGCTAAGAAAAACATTGGCATTTAAGCATTTTTGCTAATGATAGTATTTAGTAGAGTATATTTGGTATTAGAAGTACTTGGATGTGCACCCAGGAAGATGGATTATGCTACAGTGTAGGCTGAAATATATATAATGTCCAAGCTAACAAGTGGTATGCAGAGGTCTCTGATGCTGTTTCTCTGAAGTGACATATTGCATATGTTGGCTCCCAACCACACTCTGAAACTCTTTAGACACTATAACAAGATTCAGTCTGAACCTCGGTTTTATTTTATTTGTATGTTTTGTAGCTATAAATACAGAAATCACACTGCACCCTGAAATATCAGAATCTTGGGGAAGGAACACATAGGAATACTGAGACAGATGTCAGGAGAGAAACAGTGTAGAAGAACATTTAAGAGTCCTGGACTTGGAATTCAAATACTGATTTCAAATCTTACTTCAATTGTGGCACTTTGTGGACCAGTCACTTCTCTCAACATACAGTTCTCACTGGAGCATTGTCCAGATGCAAAAATCCCCTTGCATGTTCCCCTGAAGTCCTTGGAAAAAAGGTGGGGTATAAATGTGTATGAATCTTTTTGCATTATCTGGGCAAACTCTTTTAAAGTTCCCTGTGTTCTCAGAGGCCCAACTGTGGGATGTACAGGAAAGGAGCTTCTCCTTGGTCACTTGCAAGCAATGGAGTGCACTTCTCCCAGAAATAAATTTAGTTCTCACTCCTTCCATTTTCAGTAAAGGAATTAAGAGTGTACCTTCCAACCATGCCTTTTGAATTGCGTGACTGATCATGGTAATTGCATTTTAATTGATAATAATTTATATTGTTCACCTCTTTGAGGGCTCTTTGGATGAAAGGCAGGAAGTAATAACTCTTATAATAATATCCATTAGAAGTGATGTTTGGGGAAGGGATTACTTAATGGTAGAGCACATGATGCTTTTTACACAGAAAGACCCAGCTTCTATCACTGGTTATTTGTTCAAAAGGATCAGATAGCTGATCAGGGTTGATTGGAGAGAGCTGCTGTACAAAGAGGCGCTACTGAGGTAGTTCAAAAACAGGCTCGTTAGTTATAGGAAACTTCCAATTTTTCTTTTCCCATTTCATTTTTTCTTGCTTAGAGGTTTATAGGCATGCTGTGTTTTTCTCTCATTAACTTGGCCCTTAAGTTCACTTAGCAGTACTGCTACATTGTACCATCTTGCAATCTAATA